CTTCACGTTGACGCGGCCTGACGCCACGAGCTCAAGAGCATCTTTGAAACTGCAAAATAATCATCAAATAATCACCGTCATTATTCCCAGCGACAATTTTGTCAAAGCAATTGAAATAAAAAAAGTTAACAAAACTTGCGATGAAAAGCCAATTTATGTATCAGACTAATGATTGATCACTGGAATCTTTAGCATCATCTGGTCATTGATAGTCATTAGTCTGGTCATCGAACTTTCAGTTCGAAGCAAACCAAAATTTGTACCCTATTTCAGAAAGTTAAATCAATATATTAGATGAATTTAGAGTCTGCAAAACATTTTAATTTCTTACTAGACTCAGTAATTCGTCTTGCATAAAAGGCATATTAACATATTATTTTTAATTTCGTGAACGCATTGCTGTATTGTAATTCATCGTGCATTACCCATGACCGTCTGAAACCACTGGAATTCTGTTCATCTCACGTTCTTTTGGATAACGGAAACTATGCAGCGAATGTTTGTTTTGCAGTTTATTAAGCAATGTTTAATGCAAGCATCCCAGCTGTCTTTTCCTCCAGACGAAACTTCTTTTCCCGTCCGTTATAACGGTAAGTAAACATAAACAGTTTTATGCGCAAAAAATCAACAAATCTCCCGTGTCGATTTTAGAACTATTAAGAGTTCAGTCTATCCATCTTCCAGCCGATCAGTGGTATTACTATTTTGATTTCTTACTTTTTAAACCTCACCTCTGTCACTAATTTTCCATAGCTACGTGATTGACTCACTCGTTCGCGTAGCAGAAGACACCGAAGATGTCAACTTCCCTGATGGCTGAGTCCACGAGAGGGACTTTAACTTCGCGAGGTCCCAGCCCCACCAGCGCCACTCGACCTCCAGACTCAGTCGCCTAATTTAGAAATTATTCTATAGTAATTTAATGTTTACATGATTATAATTATATGATATATATAATGATAATTGTGATTATACAATATAAAATTAGGTCGCTAAATTTGCAACCTAGTTACCATATGGGCCTAGTGCTAAACCTGAAAAGAGTTTCAATCGTATCAAAATTTGAAACTCGATTCAATTAATTCATTTATGTTTCAGAGAGTTATATTTATAGTTACCTTCAATTCATACCTCAATGGCCAGTCTAATGGAAGCTTCTGCTCCGCTGCAGTCCATAGTCACGTTGGGCTGGCGACCGCCCAGCTTCTCCCTAACTTCCATGGCCAAGTCTTTCTCCGTGCGACCAGGAGTTACGTGGATGACACTGTCCGCACCAAGCTGCTTCGCCAGACTCAAACGGTCCTTGTTCAAGTCTAGGGCGGACGATGCGATGTTTGGGAAATAGAATCGTGTTAGACATGTTTACTTGAAATATGGTATATATTATTTCATATCCTTGTTTTTAGTTTTTGTCGTCGAAAGTGAAGCAGATGGATTTGTAAATTTGAACGTGTGTTTTTTTTTTGTAGTCTGATTCAACAAACCCATTTTCCACACTTGGTACAACATTATAACAACCACTGCCTTAAAAATTTCATATATAAAACTTGCTTCAATGCCTGGTCAACTCTTCAAAAGTTCAAAATTTCCCCTCCAACAGCACTCTCTTAGTTGTAAGCTAAGCGCACCGGTGATGCAGATGCGCGTGGCGCCCATGCTGCGCGCGACCATCATGGACAAAACGCCGATGGGGCCGGCGCCGCAAATGAGCAGCCGCGTGCCGAGCGTCACTCCTGCGCGGCGCACCGCGTGGACGNCGCCCATGCTGCGCGCCACCATCATGGACAAAACGCCGATGGGGCCGGCGCCGCAGATGAGCAGCCGCGTGCCGAGCGTCACTCCCGCGCGACGCACCGCGTGGACGGCGCAGCTCAGAGGTTCCAGAAACGCGCCTTCCTCCAAACTCACGTTTTCCGGCAGCCTGGAAGCGCGAAAGTTGAAGTGTGTAAAGAGATTTGGGGGATGCATATTAATTTGGCCGGATACTCAACCCGAAGATCTGGCAGGCCATTTTGGACATAGATTTCAAGTTACCATTCGTGGTAACTAACCTGCCAAAAAGTAAATATGTCAACAGCACGGTGTTTAAAAGTCCCTGACTGATCTTCATATATACAATATTAGGTAAAACCAGTTAGTAGAATATTGCTCGCGTGATTCTTCAAGCAGCTCACCGACAGCATTGATATTGCACCTCTACCTCAAATATGAGAATCAAGATAAAATCCCTTCTCGGAGCCACCTCCTATAGAAACTATAAGCAGCAGCTAATACATCTAAAGTGAGCGAGCTACCAAGTTTGCAATGAAACAGAGACTGCATTGCCAAAAACAAGCACGGAGTTAAACGCTAATCCGACAGAATAAAACATACAACTTTTCATGCTTAACTGGCAAATCAAAGTTTGGCCTCAAGATTAACACAACACCTAAGCCGTATACTGTCCTCGGAAGAATGCTCGGTAATCCAGTTACAAAGCCTTAGTCTGTTGTGAAAACGCAGCTTTCTGGTCAATAAACCAAACTCACTTGTGGCAGAAAGCTGCGGGATGACGGTAGTAGTGGCAGAGATTGCCTTTATCAGGGGACATGAAAACTTTGGTTATGAGCTGGCAAAGGTTGTAGCGGCCGGTCATGCAATACTCGCAGCGGTGGCATGGCAGGTTAGGTTCGACTGCCACGCGGTCACCTGCAATTATCACATATTTTCTGCAGGCACTATTAATTACAAGGTTAATATACAACTTGAGCAGATTTACCTGAAACTAATATGATGAAACAATAGCAAATTCAACAATTTTGATACAAACATAGAGCAAAAAATATTAGGACAACCCAAGTAGCGGATGAATTCTTTAACCGTTTTATCAATTTTCTGACTAATAACAGACGAGTTCAAAACTTGTTGAGTTGTGAGAAATTCCTCATTTCCCACCGTCAATTTGTGTATATGCTAGGGTTTATTTACGGGATCTATTTTTGGCTTGGAATTGCTTAGAATTCCGTTTCTCTAACTTCATCTGAAGAAAAAGTATTTAGTCGAGATTAGGGGTTCGGCCGCGGGTCTTGAAAGTCTTCATCTTCATTAATTATCAATTGCATCAAATGATATTTGCCGACAGTGCCAGTCCAAAGTTATACCGCCTTCAAGCAGTGTTCAAAGTCTGTTTAAATTCATTATTCATAGCTCAATACCTTGACCGCCGTTTTTGAACCGGTGAACATGTAACTTCCCGAAGTTCAAGTATTTCTACCATCTTGCTATGATCCTTGTTTCTCTATCCCTTGGTTTGTATGAATGTCGTGTGAATTTCGTTTTGTTTATTTATTTTTGCTCTATTAAATTCATTGATTCAATCTGTTGGGAAGTTGGACTTAGTTTAAGTGTTACTATTCAAATTAATTCAAATTTAACTTTCATGTTGTAAATTTATTCATGATTTATTCAAATCAACCTATTCAAACACTTCTAGCAGTCTTTGCTCAAGAAGGGCGTTTCTTTGTGACGTCACTTGCAGAGATCACTAGTTAAATCTTAGTCTTAAGTCTTTATCTCAAATTTCTCAAAATCAAAACCTTCTACTGTTCTAGCTATTTTTCTCGTCCAACTTCCCACCCCTTAAACTGATTTCCGCTATTTTCCTGCAATTATTCTTCATTCAAAAAGTGATCACCACACTGGGCATTTAAACCTCAGGTTTGTTGTGTTTTTTTTTTTCTGTACAAATAAATTCACATTTTTTATGATTTATTTTGGCTATAATTTGCTACCTCGTAATTTTCGCAAGATTTATAATTTGAATTCATTTCTTCACAGTATACCTTAATCCGATCCCGAGACTGGCTGGCCTTAATTTTTTTGTACGTCACGCATTCGTCACCACTTTCTTTCATCGAGTGACCAACCAGCCATCTTCACCTTCGCGTTCCCATATACTGAAGATTGCACTTTTGGATTCGGTGCTCATTGACTGAATATTTTCGCCATTATTATGAAGACGAATCATTCGAACTCAAACTCAAGATTTTGTTTGATAAATTAAAATACAAGCTTCCCAGATTATTTCTTTAATTAACTCCCTGTCGATTGTGTGAATACCTCACAGAGTTTATTAATTTAACCAGTAATCTGAACCAAAAGTTACGACTTGGTAAAAGTTGAAAACAAATGTAAAAACCGTGTATGATCACATAATTTAACACAAGAAAACTGACGTAAATTTTAATTGTACTTGCAGCTGTTCAAAGCTAAAAATGTCTCCTCTCGATCAATAACGGTTTTAACATCCTTTGTTTAACTTCAAGGATCCTCAGCTGCTTCAGAGGCTCTCCTTTGCTATTCAAATTTTAGGTAAAAGGGCTCTCGAGGATTTTGCTATTTTCGAAATAATTTTCTCATTTGCCTACACCAGTGGTTCAACCTGTGCTGTTTGTACCACCAGCGGTACTATATACATAGAAGGCGTTCCAGGTCGTTCGCTATATACTTTCGGAGGCATGAAAGAAGCAGTGAGTTGCGAGTTCAAGCCCGCAACATGCTGCAGATTTTCTGCAATGTTAAGAATCGGCGACAGGTCTACGGCCTAAAACACATTGAAACCGCTATGTTATGATATGTTATATGGTTATTTTGTAAAACAAAACCGTTCAATGTCAAACAGAAAACCTGGTTTGAGATGCTTGACGTTAGCGCCGCACTGCAACACCGTGCCCGCCGCCTCGTGCCCCAGCACAATGGGTTCGGTTCCCATCTTGCCTTTGCTCAGGTACGACAAGTCTGTACCGCATATGCCCACCCGGCCCATGCGCAGCAACACGTCTGCAAATATTACTTTACAATTTAATTCCCGCATGCATAATAGTTCTAGTAATTAATGTTTAGTAGACACAATATTTGTTGTAAATTAATAGCCAGCAGACACAATATTTTCGTCAATGAATAAAGTGTGGATAATATTCTATGCGTAAAATTTGGTTTATAGAAAAGTTTTTTAAAAAATCACGCATGGCTGCTCGTAAGTTAAACAATTAAAAAGGGCTTCACTCGACGTAAAAATTATTTTAAATGACTGTCTAATATCGAATTTTTTCAAAGTCTCAATCTTTCCCAGTATACTTGATCATGTTCATAATCAAATTTCTAGCATTAATTTCGCATAAATGAGAACATGCATAGGCGACCAATTCAAAGACAGTAAACTAAAAAAAACGAGAGAATTATTTACAGCAGGAGTGAAAAAAATACCTTCTGTATGTAGCAACATTTTTCCTGAGGTTACTCATTAAATTATTAAATTACAATTAGACGTCCCAAGTGATGAGAGAACTCACCATCGTCTCTCGTCGGAGGAGGCATGGGTTTGTTGACCTGCAATGGAGGGGAAACTCTAATGATTTTCAAAAATTTGTTCGTGACTTCAGCCCTATTGATGTATTTCATTCAGTCGTTGAGCCTAATGGATGATACTTTTTTTTCATTGAAACCATTTATATTAAAACTTACATTTTATTATTCCCTATAATAGGTTAAATTAAGAAATTTCTACATCGTGAATGAGGATCAGCTATATTCAGATTTGCTTAAATTTACTTTATAAGAATGCTCACCACTCTCAGGTCATTGGCCTTGAACAAAACTGCTGCCAAATTTTCATTTTTGGAAGTCATTTTGTTCACTATTTCAGTCGGTTCGTGACCCAGCGAAAAATACACTTCAGCGGCAGAGCACGATCGTCACCCTGAAAATTTTAACTTTGACTGTTACTTAAAAGTAAATATACTAAAACAGCCAGATTTATTCAAAACGAATAAAATATTTATTTATCATGAGAAATAATAGATTTAACTGAAGTAAGATTGCATCAAGTGAACTTGAAGATTATTAGTCCAGCTAGAGTAATTCCCTTCGAAGTCTATTGTGAAATTCCAACTTATGCGAAAAAAGTACATACTTCAATGAATATTTTTAATGTGCCAAAATTACTAGATTACGCAGCGAAGCAAAAGCATATCCATAGCATGATGTGAATCATTCACATCGTTCATATGCGTGCCAAACTATCAGGGTAACAATTAATGCCTATAAGCGATTCAATATTCATCAAAAATCTAAAACGCCAACAATATGTCAGTTCATTCAATGCATTACTACCAATGGATTGCGAAGCCAACTGCATAATGAATAATTGATCACCGATCATATCAATGTAAGAATTATGTGTATTGAGTGCATGTGTCGTGATAATGTTTGTGTTTAGATAAGATAAATGTAAGGGTCTTTGAGTCGTTCATCTCAGACCTGATGCTTACAAGGTCAATTTGAACTACGTCGTCGCTGAATAAGAGCATCTGCTTATAAGGCATTATAACGTCGACAAAAATTGTATATTTATTCTCGATTAAACACTAACAGTTGTACAGGGTCGCGTACGTGGTATTTATTTCTCTTACATGCTGTTTTTTCTACTTTTATAATCATAATTTCTAGTCGGAATCCTGAGTGAAAATGACTGTCAAACTTTACTTATCGAATTAAAAAGTCTATTTCAACATTCCTTAGACATATACACTTACAAGCACAGTTCACCGCATTTGCACAGAGAATTTTGTCATCATGTAACAATAATATAATGTAATTACTAGTGCTTTCAAACCATTATAAATTCAGACAGCACATCCTCCCTGCACAGGGAGGATGGAAACTCTCACTAAACCGCGCCCTTGAATGATGAACAAGACATCACTATAATCGGCTATCGCTGAGGTCTGCATCAACGGTCTATCAGTGAAACTATTCTCAAACTTTACTGGTATGTTTATTAATTTATTAACCTATCGTTTCTGTATCATTTGATTTAAATCAATTCAATTTCATTTTTGCCTTATTCATTATTTTATTTTTACTTCTAAAAACGTATTCATGAAATAGGTATTCGTTTACTTTTGGCAAGAATTCAAAGGTTTTCATTATTTCAGGTTCTTTACAATCATTACAAAGGTCTCCGTTATGATCTATCAATAATTCAGTTTGAATACTTAGTGAAATTTTAAAATACAAACCCGCCTCACTAGGAACTCGACTACAGAATTGATATTTAAGCAGGCCTCGCTCATGGTTGAACTATAAAATCTACTAGTTCAACCATGGCCTCGCTGACACGTCCAAGTTAAGCCCCTACGGCCCTGTGCAACGTACTGCCGGCAGTCACACAGTGCTCTGTAACTGTGAACCGAACTACTGACTCAACTAATGTCAAACACGACAGTTATTCGCTACATAATATATATTTAAAATTCACTGTTGATTTCATATCATATCGATTTTTCGTTTGTGTTTCAATTTCTAATTTTCTATGATTTATAACATAAGTTACATTTCAACCCCATTTGTACAAAGTAATAACAATCGTAGTTCACTCGGCACTCTTAATGACTTGCTGTGCATTTCAACCTATCGCAGCAACGATGAGATGACAATCGTCATCGTTTGTTTCTAACGTGTAATTTTAAATTTTTCGAGCACTCCTAGTGACAATTTTCAATTATGCCGTTGTTGCAGAAATACTATCACTAACACGCGCCATTGGATAATGAGCAAAAAGATCATGGATAGTTTTCGAAATTATATAAGTTAATGTGCTTATGTAAGAACTTATTCTTCAAACGATATGTCACTTGAGATTTTAGGTAACTATCGTTAATGACACAAGTGCCGCCAACTCCAATAGAAACGATAGATCTTCTGCAACGAATATATAAGGTGCGTTCTAGTTGAATCCCGTATGTTGTGAGATTTTCCTGTATTGACATAAATAAAAAAAAATGTATTTCTGATCAGTAATATGTCGTTATCAGCATGCTCAACTAAAGAGCAGCTAAGATATACTGGCGCCTTGGTCCTTCTTAACGGTACATTACTGCTGAGTGACGAATTGTAAAAAGAAAGCGACGCTTTCACTGGGAAAAGAAAGTGGGTTGATTTAACTGTTCAAATTAAATTGTCGATCGGTCCTTAAAAGGAAAATAAAAGAGTAATATCCAAAAATAACAAGGAAAATATCAATTTTTATATCACCCAAACATAACACATAACAAGAGATTAATCATATTCATCTAACAAAAAATACAACAAAATATAAAAAGAATGCCCCTGCGGAATTTGGTAACTTCTCTCCAATTAGAAAAATGTAAGGTCACACTAGTAAAAGGAATCGTCTGTTTCAGACTCAACTGTAGCATAAATTCTTCAAGCCTCAATTCTTAACTAGGTACTTGTCATAGTAGCGGAGTTAAATAATCGTAGTTACAATTTCATTTCTTGTTCTGCTAACTGTGCGCACTTTTCCGTGATTGGTCGAAGTAGATAGGATTTTAATTCTGCATCTTGTAGTCCCAGGCACATGGATTGTTTCCTAATTTTAAAGATCAAGACGCAGTTCTCACCATTCCAACATGGGGCACGTAATTCGTCAGCAGCATGTCCGTTGATTCTTACTAATTAAGGCAGGATTCATAGTCATTATAAGTGTTCTGCGTCTCAAATTTCACAATTGATCATGACTTTGACAGCTCCACCGGCCCCGGTGCGCGCGGTCTCGAAGGCCTCGCGGGCCTCGGTCAGCGAGAAGCGGTGAGTGATCAAAGGCTTCACGTCCACACGGCCAGACGCGATCAAGTTCAGGGCCAGGGGGTAACTGAAACAATTTCAAGCAAGTAATTGCAACCATATTGTAGGACAACTGCTAAAACTGTAGTACGCGTAACTAAAAAAGCTTTCGTCTGTTTTCGTGTGTAACTGCAACCGTTCAAACGGGTAAGTGAACCCGTTCAAACGGTAACTGCAACCGTTCTAACGGGTAAGTGCAACCGTTCAAACGGGTAAGTGTAACCGTTCAAACGGGTAAGTGTAACCGTTCAAACGGGTAAGTGCAACCGTTCAAACGGGTAAGTGCAACCGTTCAAACGGGTAAGTGCAACCGTTCAAACGGTAACTGCAACCGTTCAAACAGGTAACTGCAACCAACCATTTTAACATGTAACTGCAACAGTTCGTATGCGTAACTGCAGCAATTTTCAACAAGTAACTGCAACAACTACCCAGATCAGCATGGCTAAAAACGCTGAAATCAGCCAGGATTATTCAAAAGATGCCCGCAGGCTCCCAGAAGATTCGGAGTTATTAAATCATTATACAATACCAAACATGAGCTGTCGAATACAATTTTTAAGGGGCAAAATACTAAAACAATAACTAGGTACTTCTCAACAAAATATTATCTAATATATTCTTTCTGTAATTGAGGACAAAAGATATGCTATTGCTCAAGCAATGCAAAACAGGAATTAAAACAGCAAAGCAACTTCTTCATCATTACCGGAAAAATATGCAGATCAACAGAAAGTCAATAAGACATCATAAGAAGTCTAATATTGCAACAATATATATTTAAATTATATGTATAACTATTCATTCTGAATTTATACTTGAATAAGTACGAGGTTATAAAATCAGGTCAATTATTTACAATAACCATGTATGTTATAATGCAGCCTTTATATATTTTGAGAGCATAATATACTTAAAGTTACCCCTATTTCGTTAACTTAGATTAATAATCTAAATGACTATACACAGATAGCTATAGACTGACCAATTAGCGTAGCGGAAAATGCCGCGGATGTCAACCTCCCTAACAGCAGCATCCACCATGGGCACCTTGACTTCAGGAGGCCCAAGCCCCACCAGCACCACCACCCCACCAGACTCGGTGGCCTGCGTGAGTTTATCTTATTAACATGTTTGCAAGCTTCATTGAAGATTAAAATTTACGTTAATTATAATTCAAGCAATAAATCAATCAGGATACATTAGTCGTGTTGAAACAAATAATAAATTATATAATTAACCGATTTCAATATAAAATAAAGTAGATGATTTTAAATGTAAAATTTCTAATTTTAAAATAAATCTTACTAAAATCACAAACCTTAGTTGAAGCCAAAATGGCAAGTCTGATGGAGGACTCACCAAGATGGCAAGTCTGATGGAGGGCTCACTAAGATGGCAAGTCTGATGGAGGACTCACTAAGATGGCAAGTCTGATGGAGGACTCACCAAGATGGCGAGTCTGATGGAGGACTCAGCGCCGCTGCACTCGATGGTGATGTCAGGCCTGACGCCCCCCATCTGCTCCTCGACGGCGTCTGCCAAGAGCTTGTCATCCGAACCCGGCTTGACAAGCACCACAGCGTCAGCGCCCTGCGACTTAGCGAACTGCAACCGACTTTCGCTGATGTCTGTTAAGGGGAGAGTTCAGTGAATAGTTAGTGAAATATCAAGAAATAAAATTTAAAATGTGCTGTTCTTATGGAAACGAACCAATAAAATTACCTATTCATAATTGTAGTGAACTTTACAAAAATAATATGGATGAAAGATTCAAATTACCCGCCACATGAATGACATGATAGAGACGGAGATAGCCTTTATGGTTCCTCATATAATCAACAAATAATCTATGCAGGACTGGCCTGTGATGCAGATGGAGGTAGCGCCCATGCTGCGGGCCGCCATCATCGAGACGAGACCGATGGGGCCCGCCCCGCAGATGAGAACCCGCGACCCGAGCGTCACCCCCGCGCGGCGGGCCGCGTGCACCCCAACGCTAAGAGGCTCCAGGAAGGCGCCTTCCTCCAGGGTCACGTGGTCCGGCAACCTGTAGAGCGAGGGTTGCTGAAATTCTGGGGCCGCACTATAATAACAAATATAACTCAGTACTCACTGCAGTGAGTGACAGAGAGTGCATTTTCTCGTCGACGAAAACGTGAAGTCACGGACGGACAGACAGACGGAAATGACGAGCACAATAGGGCATTTTTCCATAAATGAGAAAATACGCTAAAAATAGTTACACGTTTGTAACACCAATAGGCTGTCACTGAAGGCTTTCCAAGCCAAACCCAGCAATCACAGACGAAAAATCAGCCGCTAAGTGTACATGAAACGCTACGAGTACTTGGGGACGCATCGTGTACTTGAACGAGTTTTAATAGTACGACCCCTGATGTGGTTATCAGTTATTCGGCCTGACCGCCGTTGCACCACATAACTGCTCTTTGTAAACCTGATAGGTGGAGCAAATTAGTACTAGAATTAGGGCAAAGTAAAATACGCTCATCACATTTCAAAATAACCAATCGTAAAACTACCATAAGATTAAGACAAAGTCAGCGTCTTGCACGTAGTATTGACATTCACTTGAAGCAGAAGTCAGCGTCGTGCAGGTAGTACTGGCATAAGTTGCCATCATCGGGAGGAGTGGCGCAAAAGAAGACTTTCTTGCAGAGGTTGTAGCGGCCGCCCTTGCAGAAATCGCATCGGCGACATGGCACCCCAGGCTCGATGGCCACACGATCTCCTGAAAGAGAAGTAATAGTTCATTCTTCACGTTGCTAGAACCTTTTACTATCGTGGGCATTCGATGATACAATTGTTTAGTGATATGATCGTTTGGGAAAATGCACAAAATGTTATTTGTCTTTCTTTTCTTGCTAAGTAGAAGGGATTGCAGGCTGCAACTGATCTACTGCCAGTTAGTAGGTTGCTCTTCGTCTTGAACTCATCCAATGAACCTAATTACCTGAAATTTTGAACTTGCGAAATGAATCAATGGCCAAGACAATTAACTAATAAAATAAAATTAATGCAGTCATTTTAAAAATACAACAGATCAGAGGAATCGTCAAACCCAGGGCCTGAATGAATCTCACTGGCCTTTCCTTCAACCCATATATGCACCCAAAGACCTTTGCCCTTGAATCTGTCAGTGCACCATAAGACCTTTGCCTTCAAATCTATCAGTGTACTAATGACTTTGCCCTTAAAGCATATAACTGCACAAATGACCTTACCTGTGAATAAGTAAAGGTCACCCAATGCTCTTGCCATTGAAGCACTTAATTACACTCAATAACCTTGTCCTTGAAGCAGTCAAGTGCACTTACTGACCCTGCTCCTGACATCAATAATAGCACCTGGCTGCACTCACCACACTTGAGGTTGGTGACTTTGGAGCCACACTCAACCACTGTGCCAGCCGCCTCATGCCCCAGCACCATGGGGTCCTTCACTATGAAGTCCCCAATCCTGCCCTTGGTAAGGTAGGATACATCAGAGCCGCAGATGCCTACCTGCCCCATGCGAAGCAGCACATCTGTAATAAAATTTAAGTCTTTTATACCAATATACTAAATTATTTTCTTGAAAATAATATTAAATGAGTAAAAAATCCTGGATATTTTTTAGTGATATTTATCATTTCATTAGTGAGTTCATCAAGAGTGCATGAGCCACAAGAGCACATTTGAACAAACAGGTATTTACATGAATGAAATTCATTTCTCAATATATAGAAATGGTAAAGTGTTTGGAAAAAAAATTAAATTAGCACATTGTGAGATATTTGCTGCTTGATGAATTTAATTTTTTGGTTAAAAGTTTTCTGTTTTCTCCAAATAATACTGACTTTGACAGGCAGTTTTCACAGATACTCTAATTAGAAGTAATTTTTAAAAGTAAAAAAAATATTGAGCCTTGTGGGCAATGTGGCATACTTGTGTGCACTTGATGAAACTCAATTATCTACCAGACAAACAGTTACCTACGCTGTTGATAGAAAAAGGAGGATTCAAAAAGCTTTTGTGTATAATGTCCATAATACAGAACTCTTTGGTGCTGATTGCAGTAAAAATATAAACAAGATAGTGAGTGCAAATAACATGATAATTTGGGACAAATATTGTTACAACAAGACCAGTTCTGAAGAGCCTGTTGATTAGATGAGGCTTATCAATGGTCTCATCTGAGTTTATCAGCATCCAATTGAAAATTGTAAATAACTGAAAGGAAGCAACGAGTCATTGTTGTACCAAGAACTCAGAGACAATAAAAGTTTTGTAAGCATGCAGAAAGCACTCAACTTTTCCACAAATATTCAGAATTAAGAGGTTCACAATGATTAGTTTAAAAAAATATTTGAGCAACTTTATTGTGAAATGATGTGAGTTACCTATTTAATTAGGAAAAGTAGTTGCTTTAAATACTACTCAAATGTGTTGAAATATTGAACTGAACATGCATTTGACACAATTACTGCACTTTATTTACCACAATCAGCAAAAATATAACATGACAGCAAAATGAAACAACATGTTGCAAGACGTGTTCATGCAAGTTCTCACCATGATCACCAGGTTTCTTAACCTCTCTCTGCTCCTGCAAAATATGAAATAAAGCCAATTTTTATATGACCAAATTTTTTTAATATTGATTAATTGATGTCAAATAGTGTAAATTTTGAGCTTATGATTAAAACAAAGCAAAAAAAATATTTTAAATATTTGGATAGCCTGAATGTTGAAGTATATAGGGTAACTGTTTGATGACTTTGCTTGATAGTTTTTCAAAAATAAATCAATAATTGTTCTTCATGTATGTAAAAACAAGTAGGCCTATAAACAATTAAAACAAGATCATAACCCAAATGCAAAAAGAAATTTATGGCAAAATCATGCAATTTTGCAGCATCACTATTCACTAGTATTTAATAAGTAAGATGGTTACAAATAGGTAGATCATTCATCATATTCATGTGACAGCACAACTGCACAGTCTGCACTAGCCTGACAAGAGATGAAGAAAACAATATGGATGAAATATTGCATTATTATCAAGTAGGCTATTTTTGTTATTTTTCTCATTCTAGCCTACTGCTTTATGTAAAACAAAATCTATTATTAAAAATTTTCAAATCCAGATGAATCTAATCGGCTAATCCCATCTATTTGATCCTTTCAATAACTTACCAATCTTAAATCACTGATTCCATACAGCACAGCAGAGAGGTTTTCTGTGCCAGGAGCCATGATCTAGGTATCAATAATTCTGAAATCTTTGTCTGTGGACTGCAAAGTGTGAACAAGTTAAAAACTGTTAAATAATTAGAACATAAGGGAAAGGCTATGAGAAAATAGGAGGCAGCTTTAAAGAGTCAAAAAGAGTTCTAGTGTTTAGCAGTTTAGGTGTAACCTTAGTCTAACTTCTAAGACTCTAAGTCTCTTAAGCCTCTTTACTCAGTCTTTAGGCTTAAGGCCTGAACTTGCAGGAAGAGGAAGCTATCCCAAATTTGCAGCCAATATTAATTTTATGTCGAAAATCAATCAAACAACAGTTGCACTAGGAAGAAGCTGAACTCAGCTTGGCAGCTAAACCTCAACAAAAAAAACATAGAATAGCCTACTACACATATACCGTGACAGCGACCGTGCACCTACTGACTACCGTACCCGTAGGGACTAGGGGGTAGAGTAATACTAGACCGTACAAAACAAGTAATGAAGTACATAATCATTAATCCATCTTGACATAACGCAAATTAAATTTGAGGTTCACTCTGACGGTCTTAGGTTACGTTAGGGGATTTAAATTCTAGGAAAACATTAAAATCGTGCATAAAAATGATGTAAGTCGAAATATTAACGTAGGTAGTAACAAACTAGCAATCAGGTAACCACATGCCACACTCACCACCACACGCGGTCAACCCACGTACGTACCGTGGTCCGTGGCCAACGCAATAGTAAATAGTCTAATAGATACTACGTTGTTTACATTCGACCTTGAAAACGAGGAAGTTTGAAATCAAATGGGGATCTCATATTGCGTGCGACATCGTTAATAAACTTAGCAGCAAGCAATTTAAGGCTCGCCATTTGTTTGAAATTTCATCGCTTGTTGATAAGGATTTAAAACATATTTTACAGGCCTAGTCTGATTAATAGCCACCCATGTGTTGTCATGAGAAAAAACACATGTCGTCTTGTTTCGACACGTTTAGACATTTACTCAGTCGGTCTTGCAACCTGTTTCAGTGATTAAGACATGTTTCCCGAAGTTCAAGCTACTGACTGCATTTATTCTCTTAAAATTGAAAATTTTTCTGAAATCCTTCCTCTCGTAGTAAAGGCATAACGGTTTTTTTATTACGACTTAATTCGCAAGGTATGAGCCGGTACTGGCCTATAGCAATACAGTGATTTCTTTAGAAAATTATAATTGATATAATAACAAACCAAAAGTATATTATGTTTTTGCATCTATTGTTAGTTACTTGCTGATATATTTTATTATTATAAAGTCATTCGATGATAATCTCCTCATTTTTCCTGTGGACAGAGAGGGGCAGTATTTTTGCTCATTAAATTAGGTGATCGAACAAAATGTAAAACAAATGGTAAAACTCTGTGAAACTTGCACATGTAGTTATTTAATTTTAACTTACCTATGTTTATACGAATTGAACGACGCCTTATAAAAGTTGCTAGACAGATTTTTACCTGTTTCCCTGCAGTGGCGGGGAGTCGATGTTAGACTGTGGTGGCTAGAGCGTCTTTCGATGCTGCAATGCCCGATTGCTATCAGCATACCTTATCGAGAGGATGATAGCACGATTAACTGATAAATAGCAATGTTCCAATTAAGATTGCTGGTGCCTGATGAAAATCCCTTAGCCTTACTGGCGATTGCTCCCTGCTTATGTTGTTACTATTTTACTCGTGGTCATTCCTCAGGGAGTAAAGTGCTTATTGCGCCGAGTAAATAAGGTTTAATAGCTTCAGTTAAAACGTGAGTTTTTTAAGTATGAAAGTGTTTACAATTTTTGATCAATCGCATGACTTGAGCCTGAATTTGTAAAAACTATTCGCCTATGGTTTGTAACAACATCGGTACTCACGTTCTGACGTTTTCAAAGCGGGTAATTTTTATTACCTATAGTGTTGTATATTTTACATATTTATTTTTATTCTGAAAATATGTCTTTTGCAAATACTTTGCTCATCCATGGAGTTGGGTTACCCACAGATATGAAGCCTTTATCAACAAAACTAAATAATAAATTGCTAACCTTCATCTGATGGTTATCAACGGCTAATAGAAGTATTGCTTCAGGAGGAAATTCTTTATAATTACAATCAATTGATCTCGGTTGAAGTTCATGGAACTAACATAATTTTGAATGACAGTAATCATATACTTCTTCCTGGTTGTTTTAAGAGATATTTTTAAAGCAGGAAACACTGCAATCACATCGAATTGGAAACTCAACGGCCGATTAAGTTCCTAACCTGCTACTCAACTTTCGAAAAAATCAATTTATTTGCATTCAAAATAAAAAATAGAAGAAACTTATAAGCTTTCGTCAACTGAAATGAGCTTCTAGTTAGCCGTCTCACTTTTCATTGTATGCTTTGGATGCCATAGTTCTCTAGTCAAATAATTATGCCTTTGAACTTCGACGTCTTTTAACTATTGTAATTCAATCACTAATAGTGAGGTCGGTTATTCGAAATCAGTTTAGAAATATTTGCTCGCATTGAATGTAATAGTTTGTGTTTTCTCTAAACACACACTTTTTCTTGTTAATAGTTATTTAAATAACAATAATTATGCCGCTAGTCACCGCAGGCCTAGTAAATATATATATAATTTATATATAGACACGTATATCAGCTTGCTTTGATTAGGAAAATGTTGAATGAAATGATTATGATACCAGTGAGATACCCAGTAGCAAAGGTGATTCCTCAGTAATGTCGCTCACCTGCAAGGCCCAAAAATTCAACTGCAAACAAAGCATAATCATCGAGATGGTGCCTCTGATCAGGCTGTGAAAAATGGTTAAATTATAAGTTTAGTCGAAATCGAGTGAGTCGTTATGACCTGTACCCACACTATATACTTCTGACTTTGGTTCGATGCGTAGCGCAACTCGAATGACTTGATTTAAGACGTATAGACGTATATATATTTTTTACTATCCACTTTAGACGTATATTGAGACGAAAGTCGAACTGGATTGAATTCGTCGTCGTTCCACATCGAGCGTTGAAAACTCAATCGACTCGCTTGATGTTGGACAACTCGCGTCTCGTTGTCCTTCAGGGGCAAAATATTACGGGTTTAGAGCCACGGAAACTAGTTATGTTTGATACATCAACGATGATGCATAAAATCGCGGACTTGTTTTTAAGAAATAAATGCTTAATATGCACTTGAAGTATTCTGATATATCATTTCGAATGAAGTCACCTCGATAAATGGAAAAGGCATGTTGAAATTAGTGCTCAAATATCTTAAGTACTACAATAGAATAACAGGAAAAACATACTGCTTGTTCCTAGAAACAGGAAAAGTTATTATTTTTTTAGCGCATTTTCTCATGCATGGAAAGAAAGGCGCTGTTGTGCTCGTCGTGCCCGTCCGTCCGTCCATCCGTGACTTCACATTTTCGTCGATTTTAAGAATACTTCAAAACGTGTCGTGATTCATAAAATGCGCTCTCTGTCACTCACTGCAGTGAGTAACTACTGATCTAATTTTTGTATCAATATTTGTTACCAGCACGCCGAGCGTGGAGCGACCATCATGGCAGACTGCGACAACCTGTCAGCTGTGCTGCACCGCGCACTCGACCTGCGACTGGTGAGAATTTCTTCACGCTCGTCATTTGCAATAACCATTTATTCATCATTCAACGTAAACCGATGACGTTTAACCATGTATTCTCTGAAATTAACCTTTTTCGCTAAAGGTACCAAGTTTCCAGGATTTTAGATACTTGTAGCTAGGAATTATTTAACGTATCAGCAGATATCAGATTTCAATCCACGTTATAATCATGTTTCCACGGATATCGATCGAAGCTGAATTACAAATGAATATTTCAATCAAATCAGTTTAATTGGTTATACTACATGAATATTGTCTATCAAACCTCCAAATTGTGTTTGGATGTTTGATTTTTAACCTAAAATTCAATTGATCTACATATTATATTGAACAGTTGTGTTGAAAAATAAACTGAAAATTAATTGATCTCCTTATTAAATTGAAACTGCGTCCCTCCACAGGAGCAACGTCCAATTCCAGAACCCGGACCAGGAGGTGAGCAGCCAACACACTAAACTAAAATTACAATTTAAATGTAATGGGAAATAAATTGTGGCAATTGCATGTCAAAAACGCAGATTAGATTGTGTTGTTGGTGTCAGGAGTCAAAATAACGCAGTGAAGTAAGCGTCGTTAGGGCCGCCTATCAATATACCACAGAGAAGAGTGTCTTGTCAGTGTCATGGATCGCAGTAACGGATGCAGAGAAGCACATATATGTGTTACGCGTAGAAGTAACGCAGAGAAGAACATGTTGGGAAAATGCATTAAACTAACGCAGATGAGAATGTGTTGTTGGTTTTATGAGCGAACCTAACGCCGAAGAAAGAGTGTTGTTAGTGTCGTACTACAAACCAACGCAGAAGAGAGTGTGTTGTTGGTGTTATGACCGAACCTAACGCTGAAGAAAGAAGTGTTGTTAGTGTCGTACTTCAAAGTAACCCAGAAGGCCAATATGTTCGTGTCAGACGTAAAGTTAACGCGTAGTTCACACTCTCATGTCACAGAGGTGCTGCTGCGCGTGCTCTGTGTGGGCATCTGCGGCTCGGACGTGCACTACTGGAACCACGGCCGCACTGCTCGGTTAGTTCGGCTCCCGTCACTTCTCCGGCATGGACATGTCTATCAATTTTTTCCCGTGTTGTTGTTTGCAACTCAAAAACTCGACATTAAATTTTATTTTCGAACTTGGCGATATAATTAAGTTCATAAATTATTATATTATTGAAATTTCGACAACAGTACTAAAAATATACTTTTTTTCTAACCAAATTTTATATTATTAAAGAATGGCGCTTATATTCGTTGAAACACTTTCAGTGAAAGAATACTTAAAACGCTTTGTTCCGGCACGTTTCCGTTACGAAAGAGATCCGGCCTCGAAACTTCTTTCTTAACGCGTCGTATAATAATATATATGTTTATATTTTATATGATGTATTATTATAACACATATTCCAGGTTCGTGGTGGAGAGTCCTCTTGTTCTGGGCCACGAGACTGCGGCGCAGGTGGTGCGGTGTGGCCCAGATGTCAGCCACCTGCAGCCTGGTGAGTCATGCAAGTTATGCTCCGATAATTAATGGGTCATGCTGACCAAGTGGTGACGCATTTTCTGCAAGTTTCTAATTTACTTACATTTAATTACATGGCTTTAAGATGTGTCGAGCATATTATCTATCCTCCTGTGAGTTATGTGCATTTTTCAACCCGAACGCATTATCAGCATAACTTCGAATTATTTTATCCGCACTAGCAATACTCGAACGAGTTACCTCCGCTATTTTTCCTGTTCGCTTGCATAAGAGTGCATGAAAATCATGCGTAACGTTTAAGTAGCTTCCCACCAGCTTTCAAACCTTAAAATAACGTTGATTAAACCTCATTTAAAGAAAATCAACTTAAAAACAACGTTTGAAAGAAATTAACTTAAAATCAACTTTGTTTCAGCAAAATTAACTCAAAATCAACGTCGTTTCAAGAAAGTGAACTTTAAATCAACGCTTTCTCAACGTCATTCATGGACAATTCCATGACCTGCAGGCACTGTGGTGGCTCTGGAGCCCGGCGTGCCGTGCCGGCGCTGCTCACTGTGTCGCGGCGGCCGCTACAACCTGTGCCCCCGCATGCGCTTCCATGCCACCCCGCCCGTCGACGGCACCTTGACGCGCTACTTCGTCCACCCCGCGGACTTCTGCTTCAGGTGAGTGCTGCTGCTACTGCGTCCACCCTGCCGACTTCTGCTTCAGGTGAGTGCTGCTACTACTGCGTCCCTGTCTCTTATACACATCTAGATGTGTATAAGAGACAGACATGGAAGAACAGACATCAAGTTCTGAACTTGGAGGATAAGGGATGAAAACATAGGGAGGCAACATCAAGTTGACAATGTGGGGGTTATGATGTGTAGCGAGTTAGCTGGTACCGCTACAAGCTAAAGGGGATGCTTGCAGGGAAATCTATCAGCAATTGCGCCGCGGATGTTGTGAAGTGTATTAGTAGGTATGATATATTCTGCATCCTAAACGTTGGCGGGCAAGGTTGATGTGAAATGACTTGTATCTGAAATAGCGAAGAAAGAAAAAGTCAGTCTATATGAAGTTTGGAACGTTGGCTGACTGCTAATTATTTGAGGGAAAATGAACAAGGAAATCAATAATGAATATCGGTGGTACTACACGCCTACTACACTCAATGTAATAGGAAAGAACTGGACGTGGCGTGACAGCGTTTGTTTGCTGCAGCAATCATTGGGCCCCAATATAGTGCTGACNGCAGGGAAAGAGATGTGTATAAGAGACAGCTTCTGCTTCAGGTGAGTGCTGCTGCGACTGCGCCCATCCCGCTGAGTTCAGCTTTAATTTTATTCGTCTATCGCAATTCTAATTGCAAACATGAGTGATGATAGCTTTCCAAATTCGTACGATCTCTTTAACATTTATTAGAAAATCATATTTAAGAGAGAACACAACATTTTCCCCTCCCAGAAAATGCTCACCAAACCGTATGTAACGTAAATAGATGAACCCATCACTAATATCCTCTTGAAAATGAAAATCCATCAAGCCTCCTCTACCTCATTCAATCTTAACTAAACCCTCAAGCATCTACTTATTGAACCTAATTATCCGCCTATCACCGGTTTAGTGCCCTGTCTATTCACTTTATCACACGCATATCTGTAATGCTAGTAAAAATTTCAAAAATGATGACTCAAACAAATTCGGAACAAGTACTTCACTCAAAAAATGACTACAACCAAATGGATAAACAGGATAACGAATTTGTTGATATTTAAGCTGCGAAAAAATTCCACCTGAACATTTCGCTATGCACAGAGCGATATAAAAAATTACCAAAAACCTCAGAATAAACGAATAAAACAGCAAAATTTAAATGAACTTTCCCTGAATTGTTGCGCAACAGACTATTCATGCAATGAATTCAAGGATGAGTTATTAAAGTCTTTGAAAGGTTGTACGACAATTGATGAGAGTCGCTCTTACGTGGTTAGAGCATAACTCAAGTGTACATGCTAGAGTCTAGGCCAAGGAAGTCCATCGCGTTCGTGAAGAGTATTTTGCTCTTCACATCTTGAGGAAGGGACGACTGGCGCACCAGCTGTCCTGGGACGTGTTCCCCCAGTGGGAATGGGTAGTCTGAACCCAGCACCACTCGGTCTTCCCCCACCACCTAGGGGTTCACAAAGCCAATTGTTACATGGATTACCAAAAGAATAAGATATACCGAAATATAACTAACGAGTAAACTCATTCATAAGAAGTAAACGTCTCGAGGTATTGAATTACAGACAATTTCTGAATTCTAACACATGCAGTTCACTAATGTTTAAATACGAAAAACTGCGTGTAAACTGATAGAAAGCGCATGCGATATTCAAGTTTCAAGTTACCAACATGTTACTTTATCGAATACAAGTAATAAGTTTTCTTCAAGATTTGCGTGCTTCGAAATACGTCTCGTAATTCTTGGCCTCTTCAAGCACCACCTATGGGTAGATGTAGGCCCGAATTGCTCGGATTGCGCACAACCCACTAGCAGAGGGAGGTCTACGAAGCATAGGTCATGTACAACCACGTACCCACCTGCAGCAGAAGGTCCAGGGCGCGCTGGTCATGCTACTGCGTCCACCCTGCAGCTACTGTGTCCATCCTGAGGGCTTCTGCTTCAGGTGAGTACAGCTGCTACTGCGTCCATCCTGAGTACTTCTGCTTCAGGTGAGTGCTGCAGCTACTGCGTCCACCCTGCCGACTTCTGCTTCAGGTGAGTGCTGCTGCTACTGCGCCCATCCCGCTGCCTTCGGCCTTAATTTTATTCGTCGATAGCCATTCTTAATTGGAACCATGAGTGATGATAGCTTTCCAAATTCGTACGATCTCTTTAACATTTATTAGAAAATCATATTTAAGAGAGAACACAACATTTTCCCCTCCCAGAAAATGCTCACCAAACCGTATGTAACGTAAATAGATGAACCCATCACTAATATCCTCCTGAAAATGGAAATCCACCAAGCCTCCTCTACCTCATTCAATCTAAACTAAACCCTCAAGCATCTACTTATCGAATCTAATTATTCGCCTACATGTCACCGGTTTAGTGCCTTGTCTATTCACTTTATCACACGCATACCTATAATGCTCGTAAAAGTTTGAAAAATGATGACATTATATTAAAGGTACTCGAAAGATATTCCCCTTGAAGGTAAACCAAAAGATGATGACTCGAACAAATTTGGAACAAGCACTTCACTTAAAAAATTACTACAACCAAGTGGATGAATCAAGATAACGAATTTGTTGATATTTAAGCTGCGAAAAAATTCCACCTGAACATTTCGCTATGCACAGAGCGATATAAAAAATTACCAAAAACCTCAGAATAAACGAATAAAACAGCAAAATTTAAATGAACTTTCCCTGAATTGTTGCGCAACAGACTATTTATGCAATGAAACCAAGGATGAGTTATAAAAGTCTTTGAAAGTTCGTACGATAATTGATAAGAGTCACTCTTACGTCTTTAGAGCATAACTCAAGTGTACATGCTAGAGTCTAGGCCGAGGAAGTCCATGGCGTTCGTGAAGAGTATTTTGCTCTTGACATCTTGAGGGAGGGACGACTGGCGCACCAGCTGTCCTGGGACGTGTTCCCCCAGTGGGAATGGGTAGTCTGAACCCAGCACCACTCGGTCTTCCCCCACCACCTAGGGGTTCACAAAGCCAATTGTTACATGGATTACCAAAAGAATAAGATATACCGAAATATAACTAACGAGTAAACTCATTCATAAGAAGTAAACGTCTCGAGGTATTGAATTACAGACAATTTCTGAATTCTAACACATGCAGTTCACTAATGTTTAAATACGAAAAACTGCGTGTAAACTGATAGAAAGCGCATGCGATATTCAAGTTTCAAGTTACCAACATGTTACTTTATCGAATACAAGTAATAAGTTTTCTTCAAGATTTGCGTGCTTCGAAATACGTCTCGTAATTCTTGGCCTCTTCAAGCACCACCTATGGGTAGATGTAGGCCCGAATTGCTCGGATTGCGCACAACCCACTAGCAGAGGGAGGTCTACGAAGCATAGGTCATGTACAACCACGTACCCACCTGCAGCAGAAGGTCCAGGGCGCGCTGGTCATGCACCACCCACCTGCAGCAGAAGGTCCAGGGCGCGCTGGTCATGCACCACCCACCTGCAGCAGAAGGTTTAGAGCGCGCTGGTCATGCACCACCCACCTGCAGCAGAAGGTTTAGAGCGCGTTGGTCATGCACCACCCACCTGCAGCAGAAGGTCCAGGGCGCGCTGGTCGTGCACGAGGCTGTCACACCAGAAGGATCCCAGGAGAGCGCTGGGTTCGGTGCTGCAAGATGTGGCGCAGAGGTCAGGGCGCACTCGATAGCCGTGTTGAATGCGCCCTGCAGTGTAAGGAAAGCTGCCTCCACCGTGCGCAAAGCAGACCTTCAGCCTGGGGAACTTCATAGGAAAAATGAAATCAGCAAACAAATAGGCCAGCAGCCTGTAGCAATGCATGGGACAGACGAGAGTTGGACCTGTAACCTATATATAGGGAACTGCATAGAGCAAAGTGCATTTGATAGGCGCTAAAGGTTAGCATTTGAAAATGAAATCAATGAAGGGCCACTGAAGTTATTTCTGGATTACGGCACTCCGAAAAACTAATGGCCTTTTAGTTTACTGATGGTAAGCACAGTTCACTAGTCTCCAACAGCAGCACCAAGGGAAAGCAGCAGGGAAAGTCTCCAACAGCAACACTAAGGGAAAGCAGCAGGGAAAGTCTCCAACAGCAACACTAAGGGAAAGCAGCAGGGAAAGTCTCCAACAGCAGCACTACGGGAAAGCAGCAAGGAAAGTCTCCAACAGCAACGCTAAGGGAAAGCAGCAGGGAAAGTCTCCAACGGCAGCACTACGGGAAAGCAGCAGGGAAAGTCTCCAACAGCAGCACTAAGGGAAAGCAGCAGGGAAAGTCTCAACAGCAACACTAAGGGAAAACAGCAGGGAAAGTTTCCAACAGCAACACAAAGGGAAAATAGCAGGGAAAGTTTCCAACAGCAGCACTAAGGGAAAGCAGCAGGGAAAGTCTCCAACAGCAGCATTAAGGGAAAGCAGCAGGGAAAGTCTTCAACAGCAGCACTAACCTGCGTGAAGATGTTGCCCATCATCATGCAGCAGATGGCGGTGGCGGTCTCGGCCGGCATCCCTACCAGCCACGGTAACCAGTACTTGCTGTGTCGTCCGCCCATCACCATGTCCCACGGGTGCACGAACACACTCAGGCCTACATCCAGAAGGTAATTCCTTTCACATTCTAATTGCATTGAAATATTCAGTAATTATTCAGATATCATATCGGGAGATTTGTGAAACCAACCCTGTTGCTATGGGGCCAAGCTACAGTAACTCGGAATCCCAACAAACGGATGGCTCAACGCGATGGTTTTGAGCATTTGAAAATTTCGGGGCAAGGTAAGACAGATACAGAGAGAGGCTCGTACGTGGCAAGTTGACCATGGCCCAAGAAATTTTGGCTGCTGTAACCAAGCTCATTGCACTAACACATGTCCTTCCACATGGCATCGTAAGTCAAATTCGGTAAATATTTTACCATAAATCTAAGTATTCCAGGGCATGTTAAAATTCTCATTGGATCCAGTGATTCATGAGAAGTGTGCATCAATTCGCTCCTCAAGGAAGATCTCGCTTTCGTTAATTTCGGTAACTTGCCCAAGTCTTCGCAAGTTTTCCAAACAGGATGCAGCTCCGTCGCGTCCAGGTTCCAGTCGTTAACGTGCGAGCCTATCTGGATGCCGGGAAAGTGCAGGTCCGCCTTGAGACGCTTGAGCTCCTCCACGGCGCACTCCGGCGCTTGCATAGGCACTGTGCCTAGACCCACGAACTTGTCGGGATGTTTCGTCACGTGTCCTGCGATGTCGTCGTTTAGCAACCTGTTGGACAACGCGGCTGGTTTCAATCAAATGCAACTGGATCTATTACCGGAGGCTCGATTACTGGATAAACAGATTTAAGAATATGTTTTAGCTCATGCATTAGGGAACTCAGAAAAATTGTTTATTAAAGTAGATGAATTTTAAAATTATTTGAAAATACAAGGAATTAGAAATTATGAGGAATTATTTACCAAATAGTATTAAATATATTAGGTATGTGTACTGATATCAAGAAAGAAATTCTATAACGGGAGACTTTCAGAGGCGTATGATCGAATCGTCGCCGGTGGCTGAGAACATGATCAGCGCAGCTAATTTGCAAAACTGTAATCTAATTCAATATATAGTGAGAAAAAGAATTATTCCCCATGTGTTCACAAATGTGGCATTGTTTACGACCCTGCCAGCCTCCAGCCGTCGCCCGTTTATTTCATATAAAAGACACTAATGAAATCAAAAAATGTTAATTCAAATTCAATTGAACTCAAATAAATGATTAAGTGTACAAATCACGCAGACGTGCTAAATTGCATACTTACTGAAAACCGTACGTAATAATTTGCTTTTATTCTTCATTGCATGTAGAAGGACTCAGCGATACATAAAACTACCTTCAACCTGTAAATCTAGCAGAGACTTCATTGCACGCATAAGCACGCAGCGATCGAAATACAATACCTTCAACCTGTACATCTTGCTGAGCCTACATGCGTTCGTAGATGCTTCAGCTTCAGGGGAATCACCGATTAACAAAATTAATTGTACAGTAAAACCTGATGAATAGTCATTCGATAAATCAAAAATTAAACTCAAATTGTTAAAAATAAACACACAAGAATGTGCTGGTATTTCCTGTGGTCTGGTCTGGATTGGCCCGTATCATATGAACAATTAACCCAAAATTGCAAAAAAAACATGTGCAGAAAACCATGATATTATGCGACCAGTCACCTGAAGATTGATCAACCCATACAATATAGGAAATTGACCCGAAATTTTTAAATAACACACAAACAAGCGTAAAATTATTTCTCCAAGACACACAAACAAGCGTAAAATTATTTCATAAGTCACCTGGAGAGATCCTGTGATTTGCTTTTACATTATGTAAAAAATTAACCAAAAACGGCTAAAATAAATACTCGTACATGCACATTCGGTATTAGTATTTCATCAATCACATGGAAAGGTCTAGAGTGTGGTCCGGATTTGCCCATACGATGTAAATAAAAATCACCAAAATTCTTAATTGCAAGTAAAAATAACCTTAATAGAATTCATCACTCACCCGGAAAGGTCGAGGGGTGTGGTCCGGATCCGCTTATATTATGTAAAAAAAACACCAAAATTTTTAAATCCGCGTAAAAAATCATAAAAGACTTCATCACTCACCTGGAGAGGTCGAGGGTATAGTCAAGCTTCGCCCATATTATTTAATTAAAAATCACCAAAATTCTTAAATCAACGTAAAAATAACCGCAGAAAGACTTCATCCCTCACCTGGAGAGGTCGAGGGTGTGGTCAGGCTTGGCCCAGTAGGAGAACATGACGGGGACGGTGGACAGAACCTGCGTCGTGACGCCCGTGTCCGCCATGTCCTTCAGTCTGGCCTCCGCACTCCAGCAGTTACTGTCCACCACGCGGAACACCTTACCGTCCTTCATCATGCTTGCTTTCGAGACATCTGTTCGGAATTCAAATTATTTTGTCGCTGGAATTTAAATGTTTAGGAGATTGCGTGCTAACGATATCTGATAGAAAATTATTTAAGATCTATTCCGTTTTAAACAATTCGTAAAGGGAAGAGAAAAATCTAAATCTACAAGTAGTGCAGTAACGTTCTACACTTACAAACCCTTCCAATCAAGGAATTAGTAACTTCTGTTATTATAATATTGCCCGCACGATACTCGTTTCTATTTGAAACTAAGCCGAAGTTTGTTGCATGTAACCACACACTAACGTACACGCAAATTAGGCGCACAATGTCTGTACAGTGCGTGCAGGGCTGCAGCTGCACGAAGCCTCCGTACCACCGCAGCAGCATCACACTCACCGTGCGTGCAGGGCTGCAGCTGCACGAAGCCTCCGTACCACCACAGCAGCATCACACTCACCGTGCGTGCAGGGCTGCAGCTGCACGAAGCCTCCGTACCACCGCAGCAGCATCACACTCACCGTGCGTGCAGGACTGCAGCTGCACGAAGCCTCCGTACCACCGCAGCAGCATCACACTCACCGTGCGTGCAGGGCTGCAGCTGCACGAAGCCTCCGTACCCGTATCTCTCCTTCAGGTCTGGCCAGGTTGGAGGTAGAATGTGCGTATGAAGGTCAACGGCGGGGCTCGGCTTGTCGCTCATCTGCTCGCGATGAAGACTTGTAAGAAATACAGTCTAAATTATTAAATTCTCGTGATGGTCTGAATTTGTTCATATTGTATTTTTTATTTACATTATCTAGTGAGGTATGGCAACTAAACGACGTATCTATTAGTGTGTAGGCTTCAAAGGCTGAAGGTGATTTATTCCTGCCAGGCTGCCATACATAAACGCTAGTCTCACAAATGCCAATTTTCAGGAAATAAAACACTGGTTAGGATATACAAGGGGTAAGCTTGTATCGATAAATTCTTATATGCATCCAGGCAATGGAAATGTGAGGCGGTTGCATTATATTTTTGCATACGCGTCATATACCATCGATTGAACAGTCTATAATACACTTCAATAACCATGCAATCTATGAAATTTCCTGCAAGTTTTTATCAATGCAAGGGAATGATCCTCCAACAGAGGATCTGGCAGTAAACATAAGTTATTCTGCAAAATGTAAACGCATAACAACGCTGTACAAAAACGCTGTACAATTGAAAATCACAAGAAAAATAAAGGTTTCTGACTATGGTGTGTGTCGAAATAATCGATTGATCGTAAAGCTGATAGTGCGATGAAGTTATATTCCCACTTTCATAGTTGGTATAATTTGACATAATGAGGATTTATTATTTTAGCCTGAAACAACTAATAATTTATCCGAATTTTGCAATTACCTTTGGTTGCTGTAAAACTAAGAATTGCGAGACTAACTTTCTTGGACCACGGAGTCGGTTGAAGCAGAAAGATCGACATGAAACACACGTCACAGTATTCTCTCCCTCGAAGTCGCACACCCACCTCTGGCACAGAACTGCGATCAACTGCTGGTTGGTGGTTTGTTGGGCATAGATATCTTCCCAAGATAAAAAAAAAACTATCCCGACAACAGACCGGTTCTTAGTTACCCTGACGCCAGGTTGCCGTTTAGCAGGCATCCATGCACGCGTTGTAAGTCAATACCTCAAGCACATGCGGTGGCTCATTTTCAAGTGGTAAGTATTTGCTCCAAATAAATGATAAAAATGCCAAAATCTCTGAAAACCAAGTATCAGTTGGCAACCTTCCACAAAAGCCTGCAACAAAAAACCTACAATAGTTAAATTATATCAAATTCGGTAATTTTACAACCTAGCCTTTTTTGTCGTCTACATTGAGTCTTGCTGATGTAACAACTGTACGTCGGTCGAGGTGGATTTAGTTCAGCAGTTGGTTTGGCATGCCATAGACCTTGCGCTAATATGCCTTAGAAGATGAATAATCATAGACACTCCAGGAGTTTGGTATGAGCTAACAGCTGATGTATCAGAGTTTCGTTTGTACAATAAGAAGCAAGCTTAGGACTAGACACAATCGGTATATTACACGAAGAGGGTTAATATACGTCATTTTCAGTTCATCTTCATTATTCACTTGTAAAAGATAAATGGTTTAAATAATGCAGTTACGAATTGTTCAGGATATTAGATATAACATACAATTTATAGACAACATGACGTAGGCGGCAATACTTGTGGTGCATTAACAAGTCTGTTTGAATCTCGTGCTCATCACAGACCACCCTAGTAAGGTGGCTGTCAAGTTCCTTTGTTGTATAGAGTTACTATAGTGCAGTTGTTCCTGTATGCTCTTCTTTACATTACATTCGTCTCTGAATCGTTCTCTAAAAATTAATTAGGACAACGAGACGAGATGAGGATTATCGTGGAAATTATAACGAGAAAAAGCAATATAAAGTTTATATATATATTCAAGATTCAAGTTATTAAGTGGGACAATAATTACTCAAAAATTTAGTTAAAAACCCTATCATGAACAATTAGTGTCTCTACGGTATAGCAGAGAGTGCATGAAGTTTATACAATTGTCGAAATATGAGTATCGTTATTCACCTAACATAGACGGTAGAAGGTAACGTATTGGAAAGCATTGAAACTGGACTACGAAGAAAAAGAAACCATTTAGAAGTAGTTCCGATGATTTTACACTATCTGAAAATTTGAAAGTAGAATAATAAAAACAAAATATTTCTTACTAATAATAATATAAGTCCATACGGGATATTATTCCCTATTAAATTTAAGCATGACACCATTAGAAAAGTATTATTTGCTGCCTTATTAAAGAAAATAACAAGCAGAACTACGGACAAAAATATATGAAATGATGACTCATTCCGTGGCCCAGGTTACCGGACCACATGTCCGCTGAGGACGGAGCGCTGCTGGAGCCCCTGGCCGTAGCGGTCCACTCCTGCCGCCGGGCCCGTGTGGGGCCGCAGTCGCGGGTCCTTGTCACGGGGGCCGGGCCAATCGGGCAGGTGAGTGGGGCACTGCTGTAACATTGGCCCCATAACTATTCATTAAAGACCCCCCTGAACCTGAGGGCGTCGAGATTTCATTTAATAATCTGCTCAGTTAGCTAGAAAAAAATATGATGATACTGATCATTGAGATTTCACGCAAGATAACATTTATTACTTTATTTTCTTTGCTAAAACAAGGATAACTTCAGCTTTAATTCTTTTATCATGGTTTCTAATTATTTATATATTGCAGCTATTAATCAATTGTAGAATTTAGTATATATTAATAAGTAATATTAATCTACTTCTAAGTCAAATGTTTAGTTCTTAGGGATGTTTATACAAGGTTTTAGCTCTTGTTGGCTATGTTCTTGCCTCCACTCGAGTTATCCATGTTCAATTAGCTTCTCTAGAAGTTATCTAAGCTATTTGAGCTTTTGAAACTTCTCGAATATCCTTTTATAACTGCCAGCCTTTAGAAGAAATAAACTCATTCATTTCACCTGAAGCAATAGTTTTCAGGGAAGTATGTGTGGAAATGTCCATAGGTTACTATTGTGTTAATCATATATATACTGCTATCAGTTCGCCAGGCTCTTATAACATAGAGAGTTCGTTCTGACAAGAGCCGAGTCTCTTTACGCAAAAACCGCTCGACATCATGATTCATTTCACGTTTATGAAAAATAACTATCCTTTTATTACCCACTTATCGTGTGTGAGAATAACTTTCTCTATAAAGAATAACTATCTATATACTACCACTGAACGTACGTGTGGTGACACGTACGTTCAGATACTAAAGTATTGTATTGTGCCATCACAATAGTTGTGCGCCAGTACAATATACTAAAGTATTGTGATGTCGCAGGTGTCGGTGTTGGTGGCTAAAGCTATGGGTGCTACCCACATCTGCATCACCGGTGAGTATATGCAATATATTTGCCCTCGCAATGTGAAATATTCAAATTCATGCAGACATAATTTCAACATAATTATTACTATTCCACATAATTATTATTTCACGTTACACAGATTTTTCGTGCATATATGATGTTTTCTTTTATTTTTTAGCGCATTTTCTCATTTATGGAAAAAAGGCGCTATTGTGCTCGCCATTTCCGTCTGTCCGTTCGTCTGTCTGTCCGTCCGTGACTCCGTGACTTCACGTTTTCGTCGACGAGAAAATGCGCTCTCTGTCTCTCACTGCAGTGAGTACTGAGTTATAATTTTTTGTTTGTACTGAGTTATATTTTTTTGTTTATGCTGAGACATCAACGAAGGGCGCCTGCAGTTCGCACGCAAGCTCGGAGCGGACAGCGCGGTGTGCGTAGCAGGCATGGGCGTGGAGGAGGCGGCCGCCGCTGTGGTGGCCGCCGGTGGCCCGCCCACCGCCGCCCTCGAGTGCTCTGGGGCGGACTCTTCGCTAGTGACGGCCATACACGTGAGGCCACATGCACGTGTAACGTGAGGCCACATGCACGTGTAATTGCCGTACACGTGAGGCCACAGGCACGTGTAACTGCGGTACACGTGAGGCCACAGTGAACCTTCAAGCGTGGGCGTCATTATATTATCGTTAGATTATAGGAGCGGCATTAATCAAATAAGTTGTGAAGTCACGACCATCAAATTGCTGTGGTCTCGAATAGAAGTAGATATACTCTTAAATGATTATTAGTCTTACATGGTTCTCTCGCCTACGTAATTACACGATCGTTAAAATGGTGGGATGAGTGGTCCAATCAAGTCCTTCGAATTCAAAAATTGGTTGAATATAGTGCAATATAGAGCCACAATTCTGTCGTGAAATTAAAAAATTCCGTTTTTTCAGAGTTACATTCCATTACGCTCGACTTGTTAGTCACTAACAATTTAATTTAGATCTTTATTAACTTTATTTAACGATGTCTCCTTCTATACTGAACCCTATTCATTTAACCCTCATCAGGTTAAATATTTTAATTTCGTGAGTTGCAACAATATTTCGGCATCCAGCGCAGCCTCTGTCGTCGTCACTTGTCTGCTAAATTATTATTATTATTATTATTAGGATTTTAGTTAGTGAATAAAATTATTACAAATTATTATTATTTTCAGGAATTTTGTTAGTGAATAACAAATTTTTTTTATTATTATAGATTTTAATTATTAAATAATATAATTGCAAATTATTATTATTTAAATATCAAACTCTGTCGTCTGCAAGTAAGCTAAGCAAAGGTACTAACTACCTCGCCAGGCCGCGGACGCTGGCTGTGTCATCGCGACCGTCGGGCGTGGTTCCCTGGAGCCTCTGCTGCCTGTGCCGCTGCTCACAGCCAAAGAGGTCGAAATCTGCGGCATTTTCCGCTACGCAAACTGGTGAGTTGAATGCTTCAGTTATATGTTGAACATATACGTTTTCTAAACTGGTGGGTTGAACACTTCAGTTATATGTTGAACCTATCCGTTCCCTAAACTGGTGGGTTGAATGCTTCAGTTATATGTTGAACATATTAGTTCCCTAAAGTGGTGAGTAGAACATTTTAGCTATATGTTGAACATATCCGTTCCCTAAACTGGTGAATTGAACACTCTAGTTACAGGTTGAACGCAAAGTTTGTTGCAACACTGAGTTTGTCATGTGAGCATTGATGTAATAAAGAGTTTGGCATGTGAGCGTTGATATAATAAAGTTTGGCATGTGAGCGTTGATGTAATACAGAGTTTGGCATGTGAGCGTTGATATAATAAAGAGTTTGGCATGTGAGCGTTGATATAATAAAGAGTTTGGCATGTGAGCATTGATATAATAAAGAGTTTGGCATGTGAGCGTTGATATAATAAAGAGTTTGGCATATGAGTGTTGATGTAATAAAGAGTTTGGCATGTGAGCGTTGATATAATAAAGAGTTTGGCATGTGAGCATTGATATAATAAAGAGTTTGGCATGTGAGCGTTGATATAATAAAGAGTTTGGCATATGAGTGTTGATGTAATAAAGAGTTTGGCATGTGAGCGTTGATATAATAAAGAGTTTGGCATGTGAGCATTGATATAATAAAGAGTTTGGCATGTGAGCGTTGATATAATAAAGAGTTTGGCATATGAGTGTTGATGTAATAAAGAGTTTGGCATGTGAGCGTTGATATAATAAAGAGTTTGGCATGTGAGCATTGATATAATAAAGAGTTTGGCATGTGAGCGTTGATATAATAAAGAGTTTGGCATATGAGTGTTGATGTAATAAAGAGTTTGGCATGTGAGCGTTGATATAATAAAGAGTTTGGCATGTGAGCATTGATATAATAAAGAGTNTGTAATACAGAGTTTGTCATGTGAGCGTTGATGTAATACAGAGTTTGTCATGTGAGCGTTGATGTGATACAGAGTTTGTCATGTGAGCGTTGATGTAATACAGAGTTTGTCATGTGAGCGTTGATGTGATACAGAGTTTGTCATGTGAGCGTTATTGTAACGCCAAGTTTGTGTCACGCGCAGCTACCCAGCGGCACTGGCGCTGCTGGCGTCAGGAGCTGTGAACGCGCGTCAGCTCATCAGCCACAGGTGGGCATGTCTCGGTTTGGTCGGCCATGTTTCGTGTATCAGGCGAGAAAATTAGGATGATTCTTGAGTCTGAAAAAGCCTATATTTTTTCAAACTTGATAGCTTAGCTCACATATTTGATCACAATATCTCAGCTCATTACCATATATTCATAACCTGTAAGCCATTTTGTATAATTTAAATATTTAAGCTCATGGTTATGCTATTTGTCTAATTATGTCATGCAGGTTTACTTTGGAAGAAGTGGAGGAGGCTTTCCAAGCTGCCAAGTCCGGTGTGGCCATCAAAGTCATGATCAAAGTTGGCGAAAAATCTTAAGTCTTTCAAACACCTGATAAACTTCTGTGAGTGATAATTTTAAAATTAAATTGAATTTTAAAGAGAATTCAGCTTCATTTTTTTAATTGAATGAACATGGTGTGCACCATAACAGCAGTGAGCTCCCAGATATTACTTTTTCCTAGGATTTAGCGACGTGAGCAAGGATAGTAATGTACTTTTGGTGCAGATAATATAATATAGCAGTTTCAGCTTTCTGTGAGTGATAATTTTAAAATTAAATTGAATTATAAAGAGAATTTTCTATTACTTTAATTACAACTCTTCACTAAAATACGATACGTTCATCTCTCGTGGGTTTAAACAAAGCGAACACTAAAAGTCAGTGAAGATTTATTTATAGAATATACCAAAAAAATATATCAACAATTCAGAGTGCGACAACTCATCATGAGGAGCAAATAAGGAGCTAATACATACCCTGAAATATGCCTTCCCTGAGAGAAAAAACTCATCCACCACCCCGGTAACTTCTATGCATTCAACACGCACATACAAGTCCAAATTAATACTTACATTGTATCCCACATAGTTAAGTCAGTATAAATACTGGCAATTCAATAGCCTATGTCATGTCTTAAATATTTTCTCATACGCAAAAGAGATGAATTTTCCATCAAAATTTCCCTCAAAAATGGCATTTTGCAAAACTGTCAAATAGCCCCAATTAAAATGACTACATTTCGACACGCCGAATTACGCAGTTATTGTCATTAAAACTTGAAGCAAAACAGTGTAGAACTTCCCTCGACTTGCACGTTTATACACGTACCCAGTAAGATTGTATTGTCAACGATTTTAATTTCACCACACATGTAGTCGCGCTAGTTTTCATACTGAACAATTCCCGTCCTAGTGAAAACTTAGCAGTTCATCTCGACGCCGAGTACTCATGTATTGTCACATCATTTTGCATCGCAATAAACATTAAAGTTTAAATTAAATCGAGTGTCACAAGACGGCTCCGACATACATACTTTGCTCCGACACTAAAAATGGTGCAACAGAATAACAGAGTAATTCAATTAATTCAACATCTAAGACATGCGCGCTAGGCGGGTCTAGTCAGAGGTGAATTTCGAACAGTGACCGGTGCTCTGTTATACGAGTGTTCAGTTCAACTAATGAATTCGTAAGCAAAAATTTTCGAGACATCGGGAATTAATGCGCCAGTGACAATTCATGCTTCAAACCAAAAATGCAATTGCTTGCGAGTCTTAGGTCAGCGATTATAACGAACTGATAATTATTGGAAGAAATGGAGAGTTAGTAGCTAAAAAATACTTTACGGCACAGCTTCAGCTGAGGGACTGCACAAAACGTACATCGAGAGACAAATGCAATAGCGCTGACAGCAGGCCTTCTTCACGACGAGCATTTTCATTAGAAAAATTCCCACAAACTACCACATTTTATCCCTTCAGGCGTTATCGTCGGATTTGCAGAAGCTTATCCGTAGGTCTCACACCATGGTGCATAATAAAGTACTTTGTAATATAAAATTGATGGGAAAAAACACAGGAAGTGAGTGTAAGTACGGAATAAGAAACGGCATATATATGGACAATTGAACTAATAATAAATGCAGAGGAGACAAAAATCGGCAAGTGTAATATGAAATCAGGTTTATATATAAATCGACAGGAAAAAAAAAGTAGTAAAAAAATGTAAACTGAGCGGACGTGGGCTAAAATGTGCTAAAAGGCAACAACTAGATGCAAAATAAACTATAAAAATTTTGGGATATGTTAAAGAAAAGTTTCAGTATTTCTAATCCCGCTAAGGAAATTGAACATGGGTTATAAAATTGCTTACTGGACACAGCTATTACTTCCTTACATGCGTTCTCAACATGACATCATGACATTGAATGAAATTCACAAGTACATTTTTACTGCAAAAATAAAATTTTTGCTCATTTCTTTCAGATTGTAGAGAAAGTTCCAAATGCTATAGATAAGTTGAGCAACTCGAAAGAAAGAGGGTGTTTTTTTTTCGAGAAGAATATCGAGACCGTGGCTTTCAAGAAGAAAGAAAGACAAATTTAAAGATATGAAGGTCTTTAAATTTGCATTTATTGAAGCTAAGGTATTAAATTTATTGCAGGAGAGCAATTAAGGCTGAAAATTTTAATTAATTAACATCATTCTAGATTCAGTTTAAAAAATTTACCCATTCGTTTAATATCTAGGCTTAGAGCATATATGGAATAATATACTTGAATTATAAACACTGAAATTTGAACTTCTACAAGAAATGCAATAAATGCCGGATATCTTAGCCGAATTTAGAATTTAATACAAATCTCAGTATAGTTCTAAAATTATAACCGGGAGACCAGCTTTATAGCACACCACGACCGTGGCTCGGCTCGTAATGTAAGAGGCAAAACTTTAAACCAAACCAACCAAACCAAACAATATTTAGGACATATGCATTGTAAATTCACAGCACAACAGTTGATAAAAAAAAGCTTCCCTGTGAAAAAAAAAGCTTCCCTACGAAATGTCAGAAAAAGCTTCCCTGTAAAATACAGTTTCGAGGCTACAGCCGGCATTGCTCTAAAAAAAACTTCGTCAAAATTGAAAACTTGTCAACAACAGGCCTTGAAGCGATCAATTTTTTTGATACATCAAACGGACATACGAGTGAGCAACAACGACTGCGTCATCGGTTACCAATGTTGAGAACCTCATCGAACGTTGCTAGTAAGAAATCAGTTAATAAAATAACAAAAGAATTAAAATATAGAGGGAAGTTTTTCTACACGCCTTTGATAACCTTACAAGTCGACCTCTTTCAAGGAGGTTTAAAGAGCATGTTCTATAATATTCAATATTTATATTAAATATTATTAAAACAATATTTCCGGGGAATGGACTTTTTGAAAAATGAAGATTGAAATTTTCAGATCAGCATTACACAATCAACCTCGTTTCGCTGATCAAATCAGACAAAGTATTATGAGATATTCTTGTGGAGCGCTGAGGCTGAAATAATTTTTAGATACCCATTACGCACTCAGTAAGCTATAAGAGCCGTTGACATACGTTATCGCCGAGCTTTTGTACACATACACCATTATATACTCTTTATTTTTTGCTATGCACTCGCCACCAATAGAAAATATACATAACAATATTGTAGAATCGGTAGTTTAACCTGCAATCGGATCCTAACTTTTAAAACTCGTTCAAAGAAACCCGTTGAACTCGTTCAAGGAAACTCGTTTAACTCGTTCAGAACTCGTTCAAAGAAAAGTAAGTTTATAACAGGCGCTACCAAAAGAACGCTCGGTGTCAAGTTAACTGCTCCCCGCCCCAGTTAACACAACGAACAGATCATTTACAACGAGCAAGTAATGAGAAAAAATATACACAAACTGTACGACTGCACAGTCAACTTAATTGCGGGCGTTGGCAACGTGCAACTGCTCCGTAATTACAATCATAGCAAAATAATCAACGCTTAAATAATATACATTATACAAGGACTAGTGAACGGGTAAAGACGCGCTAGAATTTCATTAAAATAATGCGGACGTAATTTTAGAGTTACGCTCATGATCAATATGATTGAAGTGCAAAACACCTAAAACTGAAAGAATTTAATGAAACCAATATTTCATGTAGGACTATTTTATGAACCTGGTTTTGTGTTTTCGAAACGTAAAGACTTTCTAAATTTTATTCCTGCACTTAAGCTCTAGAAAAATACCCTATTCAAGAGTAAGCGTATAGCAAAGTTCCGAAATTACCACTGCTCAGGGAAATATTTCTAGAAAACCGGAGACGAAGCAACAGGCACGACGCCAGTGAACACATCACAATAAACACGAAATGAAATAGAAGAGCGACTAAGCGAGTCGCATCACAACCACAAGACTTCACCATTCACCATCACTCTGGAAGCAAACGCAGCGCCTACAACTAAACTCATATTAATTATAACAATTTCAGCGAGAGGATTCCCCGAGACATGAAACGAGTCTCGAATTAAGAGTTCGAAAAATTATGTGAACTGAAATGAAGTCGAAAAAAACAGATAATAGATCAGAGTAAGAAAGTTCATTCGATGGGAGCATATTTTTGTTAGAGAACAAACAAGGGAAATAGGTATCAATGACAAGATACTAATTAATTTCATTAGAACACAAGTGACAAAAGAGAAGACACTCGAGCGCTGAACTACAGTAACACGAAGTGGACATGGCAGGCTCAGTTGACATGTTGAACAGCACTCCACGTCGTATTATTAAAACTACGGCAGTAGGTGTCTACGTGGGCTCGATATTCAGCCTACAAATACACTGTAAACTACTGCACTAATAACAACGAAGCCTGGGCAAGGTATCAGAACTAAGCATGAACTAAGTTGGGTCTTTAGGGCGGCGTTTTATTAGGACAGCATTGACGTTCAGCGAACAAATTTCTTCTTACATAAACGAGGAAATATAAGATACGTTATGAGCGCAAGCACTCTTGGATAGATAGAATATAGTTTAAATTGGGGGTAAGCACTAAAAAATTGGGAAGGAAATCTAACCTAATTAACAGTAGTTTCAAGCTAACTGGCAGTAAAGATAATTTTTCAAGTTAAATAGTGTTCTACCACCGAAGTTTGAGGCGTGTCGAGTCGCTTGTTCATACGAAGGCGTGTTATACTTTCACTAGTTCAAAGACAGTTTTCTCCTACGCAATTGTAATCAAATTATAGACGAAATTAAACACATTCGGGCAAAGCACCTGAATGAGACATAAAATTTATAATCAGACAGAAAGATGGCGCATGTGATGGATATGAGTATAATGAACAATAATTACAAAGTTAACCGCGAGCTCGAAGGGTTGGGGAAAGAATACCAAAATAAAATCGATCATCAGTGGCGAATGTTTTAACTCAAGCATCGTACGACAACACACAAATTCTGTCAACAATGTCTTCAAAACTTGCACTCTGCCAGCAAAAGCATTCAATACCTGCACCTCGCTTGATGATCTTGTGGTGGTTCTAGTCTTTGGTCATCAGAGGACTGTCATGTATACGATTCTTTTATACTAACGAGCCATCTTAGTCGGTTAAATTTATTTTTTACTGTTTAAATTTTTATCAAAAATTTTACTGTTATATTGTAGGGACATCAACTCAAAGATACTGAAACCCAAATCAGAGTAGTGCTAAGTTATTTTTTTCAATTTTGTTTTACCTCGCGAGGTAGAACTAATGAATCCTCAAAAAAAGTTAATAAATGAATTTTAAAATACGTTCACTGTGTTAGTACCTCTTAGCAGCAACCATATACAATCTTGGGCATTGAGCCACAAATTTAATACTGCTTCCCTGAACAAAGAGATTGCTGCCCGGTAATTTTCTCAATTTAAAACCAGCTATTAATTCAAAACAAATAATTAATTATGAGCATAAATACAAAAATCCGTCATTTAAAACCTGATGCAAACTTCTGTGTGACCTCAAGCAAATAATTAACATGACAGCCACACAATTTCTTATCAGAGATAAATATGAAAAGGCGTCGTAATTACATGGAAGTACTGACAAGGATGCCTGGAGTTGAAGAGACCTGCTCTCAGCAGGCACTGTCATATATTATGTTACCTACAGTAAATGCAAGCATCTTAAGTCAAGAAGAGCGCACCAATGATCACCATAAGAAGTAAGAACATTCTAATCTCGCATATCTTAATTAAAGCCATACTTGTAGGGGGAATTTACTTCACGCGTCACATACCAACAAGATCAAAGGACTCTGGATAAAACAGAGCTAAACGTGGTTCCGGCTACCCGTGCGATGGAGGAGAACACAGGCAAAGAACATTCGTAAACGGAAAAAATTACGGAAGGAAGATATAATCAAAGAAGCAAACTGAAATACCCGGTGACAATCAAATTTATTTCCACAGCGAGTCTGTTCCAGTTAGTTATGTACGTGGTTTGAGTGTGTTATTCATATCTATTGAGAGTGTAGCTCTGATTAAGCGCGTGCTGTTGTAGTTGAGAGGCTAACCTTGTTTGAACACACTTCCGAGAGCAAATATGAACTCGAACTCATTTATCGAAACTTTTCCTTATGAAACCTGCTTCTGAAAAAAATTTTTACAGAACTGAACTTATACAGAATGCCTAGCCGAAGAAAACAGCCACAGAATGTAGATTTTTTTACTTTCTGTCACTTCTTTCGATAACAATGTACAAGTTTTAATTGTCTTGAATCTTTCACGGACTGCGGAGAAAAGTTCCATGACAAACCTAAAATCTCTCAGGGGGAGGAGATGGAAGGAAAACTAACCACTTGGAAGATTAGAGTGATGAGATTCGCTTAGCAACAATTGTAACTAACAATCAAGACGCGAAGAATATAGCAATTTATAGATATGGGACGACCCATGTCAAAAAAGATCCGCCCAAACCTCTGTTATCAAACAGATCTTTGAGGATCGGCTTATATCAGAAGATATAGGGGCAAGATCATCATAGATCGCCCCAGGACTCGGCTTTCATTGATTTATGCTTGACACTAGAAAAAAAAGCACTTATCGACAGACTAGTCTCAAAGTCGAGTAATTAGAACAGAATGATATACTTCGTAGTATCTATGCAAAATATTTCTATGAAGCTCGTTGAAAAATGGTGTTAAATGTGGGGCAGCTAAGAAAAAAAAACATAGGTAGTTTGTGTAACTTGAGTTCGCGGAGTTATTTACCTTTTACCGTGATTCTGATATTTTTGGTACTCAAGTACATCAGCAATAAGGAAACATTTCAGCAGCTAAACCACCTTAACTATGCCTAGAATCTCGTTTAGCTATGGTGCAAAACGTCACTGATGGTTTGCCCCGTTCCACTTCTCAGGGACTAAAATCTATTAAACAAGTTCAAAGAATCAAAAAGAAAAAATTCACGGCTATGGGCTAAAATAGACACTAATGGTTGACCAGGCTACCGCAACTAAACATAAAATACTAGTTATTCTGTGACTATGACAAACCTTGCACTACAAGATCTTGTTCTATCAAAGCAAACATGCAACCAGTGACGTAGTACGAGATGCGAAGCCCCTATACAGATTTATTCAACGACATTCAAGTGATCATAAGCTCTGGGTAGTAGAATGCAAGCGACTTTAGTAGCAAACGGTGGAATTTTACATGTTAAACTACAACGACCTGAAGATGCAAGCCCCAGCGGGTAACCGACAGCTGTGAGGACATATAAACAGGGTCACGATTTGGAAACTGGAGGAAACAAATTTTGGTTAAAGTAATCGATCGAGGTGACAAATAAATTTTAGCTAAGTAGAATAACAACTTGTTGTCAGAGAGAAACGCATCCCCGACAGTGTTATGATCTGGAACACATTATTTTCCTGCAGCAAAAAACGACCAACAAACAGATGTCCCCGCGCGCGTTATGTTCCGAGTCTAATGTTTTCTTCAGCTTGCCCAGCAAACCTCCCACGGAATATATGAGAAGGTTCACTGATCATCAAGCGAAAGGGATCGCAAGTTCCGGAAAAAATTCAACAATACTGGCGGTGACAACAGTAGAAACAGCCAAGACTCCGAACAAAGATTCGAGCATACAAACAAAACTTTCCAGGACTTAGACTTAGCTCTAAGTAACAATAATAACCATCATATGTTCTCTTAGTAGCGACAAAGGCTGCATCACTTAAAGCTACGCTCTATTCGAGGTCCTTGGCGGCAACGCCACACAGCGCCACCCTTGGTAGTTCTTCATTGTCAACGCCATGGGGCATCTCACGCACACACGTTAATATCTCCACGGCTATTAAAATCACATCAAGTCATGGAAACTAAAACGCACAATATTTCACTCTGAATTGTTCCCATTCGGAAGTTTGGCGACTCGAGCGCTCCACAAGACGCGGAGATGACAGAGACAAAGTGTAGGAAGGGAGGAGGTCACTAGCCTAGAGTTAATTAGGTGGAGCAATGCTAGCGCAGTGCTTAATGCTATAGCGCAGCAGACTCGTCCATTAGCGGCAACGAAGCTGCGTCGAGGCTGCTGTTCTTTTTGTGGCTCCTGTCATAGGACACGTCCTGACCTCCTGCACAACACACTTGGTTACTCGTATGTTAATCAAGATAGCATTTCAAGTAAGTTTTCAATATCATAATTTAATAAATACTAGTATTCTAATAAGTATTCGAATATGCTAGAGGAAAAAATAATGGAAGAAATGTTCCTTTCAAGTACCACAGAGTCAGTTATCAAGCAGAGCGCAAATAAAAATTAAAATGTCTTATTCTAATTAATAGGTAAAAAGAACTGAACTAAATGAAGCTTGTTAATGAACGTAGCACAGCTCACCAGACTGGCGACGCTGCTTGGCAGCCAAGGCGGCAGCTGCGCTGCTGCTGCCCTCAGGGATGAAGGCGGCGACCATGAGCGCCGTGATCACCATCAGCGCCCCGAACACGAACGGCGGCCCCGGCACTAGGTTGGGGTTCACGCTCGCCTCACGCACCACCGACGACACGTTACCCGATAACTGTGGGACCAGGTAGTAAAGGTTACCTGATAACTGTGGGACAGTTGTAAAGGTTACCCAATAACTGTGGGACAGTTGTAAAGGTTACCCAATAGCTGTGGGACAGTTGTAAAGGTTACCCAATAACT